AGGGTACGTCTAGACTACAGGCTTCTGTCGACAAAGAGCGTCTAGACTACATTGAGTTCTGTCGACAACGCAAGCTGCTTTGTCGACATGGTAGTGTAGACGCAAAGGACAGTTTACATTCAATAACACCTTCTGTCGACAGAAACTCTGTCGACAGAAGGCGTTATGCCTCGTAAAATGAGGTTTACCAGCGTCGACAAAACTGCTGAGTTCTGTCGACGTTATGTCGACAGAACTCAGCGGTAGTGTGGACGCAGGTATAGTTTTGTTGACAAAAGTCCACTTTTGTCGACAAAACCCTGTAGTCTAGACACACCCCTGGTGTGAACAGAAACATCTCAGAGTACTTCTGCTGAGACTTTGATATGTTAAAGAAAACAATCAAGAACTAAACTGTCTGAACACATTGTATAAAGAATCCCTGAACCTGTCTCTCAATGCTGGCTGCTCTCACTCTGGTAGCGGTCAGCCTGCATGCATGCATAATAAAGTTTTCCTTCTAGGTTTCTCTCCTGCTTCACTGCTTTGACCTCCAGCCTCGGACCCTTCTGGGGGCTCTGTACCCCAGGGGAGCGAGATTTCCCCCACATCACCACAACACTTGGAGTTAGGCGGTGTGTCCAGTTTGTCAGGACAGGTAGCTAGAGTCCACTTACACTGGGCTTTCGCCACAGTGGGTGAACCAGAGCACCCTGCTAGCTGATGGATGCTGGTCTGCTATCAGGATAGGTTCAGGCCTTTGCCACGGTCCTGGAGACAGCAAGCTAGGCGAATGATGAATCCACGAAGAGACAGACGAAGGAGGAACCAGAAGAAGGAAGGAACCCGAGCTCTCTTGGGGTCCGAGCTTATAAGTGTCTCTGAGCGGGAAAACAGCTGGAGTGCCGAGTGCAGAGAATGGTGCTGGGTGCAGGCAAACTGGTGCAGTGTGCAAAAGATGGTTTTGGGGGCAAAAGTCCTCTCAGTCTGTTGGGTTCCATTTTAAAATCCCATCATGCACCACAACTCCATCTTGAATTGTTCCTTCAAGCACGGTCTCCATTTTGATTTTAGTGGATCTCTAATTATATTAGTCTCCTGCTAACACAGTGGCACAGTGGGGCACTCAGGCACAGGGGCAGATATAGGGCAGGGCAAGCAGGGTGGCCGCCCCGGGCCCTGCGCTTCAAGAAGCCCCGCGCATGCACCGTGTCAAAGGGGGGGCCCCGTGAAATTGTGCTGCCCTGGGCCCCGCAAAATCCTCATCTGCCCCTGCTCAGGCAGGCAGGCTGCTTGCATGCCATGATGGCGCCACACCGTCCAAAGCACCTGGCATCTACTGGCAATCATGTCTCTGGGTGTCTCTTGGTGGGAGAGGGGAAGGGATGACAAAGCTGATTTCCACATGCTGTCTGTGCTCTCAAGCACAATCCCTGCAGCTCCAATTGGCCAGTTCCCCTCCAAGGGGCACAGAGAGACAAGGTGATGATGCGCTGGAGACAAATGCTTGGTAAGCTGGATCTAGCCCGGGGGCCATATTTTGTGCACCCCTGATCTAAGGAAAAGGAGTTCAGGAGAGTTTCTCAAAGAGATAATATTAAACACACAATTGCAAACTAGCCTGATGCAAAGAAAAGATGGGAAGAGGCCAATATGTCTCCATCAAGAGCACTGTAATGATTCGAAAAAATGAAGAAGAAATCCTACAAAAAGTGGAAACATGAATGAATGATCTAGGAGGAATACAAAAGAACAGCACACACGTGGAGACAAAATCAGTGTGGCCCAGCCATAACATGAATGATAATTGCCTACTCCACTGGGTAATAGTGAGGGCTCAGCTGGAGTACTGAGTCCCTTCTGGAAGCTACACTTGGAAGAGATGTGGAGAAATTGGAGAGAGTCCAGTGGGTGGTATCCCAATAACTGAGAGGTGAAAATGGGCTGGTGCAGGCTTGAGATGTTAAATTTAGATTAATTGGCTAATTGAATAGTTGATGCAATTTGCATTGACTATTTGATTAGTCGATAAGGGCGCCTCCGCCTTTGAAGTGCAGCAACTGTCCCAGGGCTGTTGCTACACTTCAAAGGCAAAAGTGCTGTGGAGAGCACAGGGCCAGCAGGGGACTCAAGGGGTACGTCTAAACTACATGGCTCTGTCGACGGAGCCATGTAGATTTGTTTGTTCAGCAAAGGGAAATGAAGCCGTGATTTAAATAATCGCGGCTTCATTTAAATTTAAATGGCTGCCACACTGAGCCGACAAACAGCTCATCAGCTGTTTGTCAGCTCAGCGCTCTAGTCTGGACGCTCCCCTGCCGACATGAAAGCCCTTTATCGACCTCCCCAGTAAACCTCATCCTATGAGGCATAACGGGGAGCTCGATAAAGGGCTTTCAGGTCGGCGCGGGAGCGTTCAGACTAGCACGCTGAGCTGACAAACAGCTGATCAGTGTCGTGAGAATCACAGGTCCGATAATGAATACCCAAGGGGGGAAGGACAGAACCAGGTGGACAGTTTTATCAAATAAAAAATATTTATTTATGACAGTGGTGAATTTATAGTATTTATTCTAAGATTTTTAATAGACCGTGTTAATAATGAATTTACAGTATTTATTATATTTATTCTATGGTTTCTAGTAAAACGTGTCAGAGATATAGGGATGGGAATGGCAAGGGGAATAGTCTCTAATCTTAAAATATCCAGCTACACTAATTAAATAACAGTGATAACCACAAGCTCTATGTACTACCCAACACAACTACAACACTAAGCTTATACAACAGGAAAAAATCAAATCATACATATCAACTTACACAGCACACGGAACATTTCACAGATATCGGTTCTGTTGCGAAGGCCTTGGTTATGCCCGAGAGTCGGGGGAGGTGGCTGGTCAGTTGATCAGGCCGGCAGCACTTTGAAGTGTACGAGAAGGCACACGCACGGTGGTATGTGCGTTGCGAAGACCCCCTCAAGCGAACTGTGCGATGGGTATTTATCCCCAAATCTGCACATCGCTTTCCCGTGCTTGCATATTACCATATATGGCCCAATGGTCACCAAGTGGGGGGGTCGGTGTCCCAGGGGTTGGGCCGAAACTGTGCAGGTTTCATGCGACCAGGTAAGCCCCGCAGTTCTCACGCCAAGGTGACGGGTGGGAGAGTCTGAGGCTATTTTCCCCTTTTCACACCTTTCCTTTTTCTAAAGGCAATGGTATGCAGGAAGGGTGCGGCTGGTTTCTCTCAAGGAGTAATGCA